AACTGTCAGAGGTTTTCCAACAAACTGGAGAGGACTGGGAATGACAGCCACTCTGCTGAGGGAATGGGGGCGGTGGATGCTAATGTCGCCAACTTTGCAATGAACCAGTGGCAGTAGACCTCTGAACTCCATCAAACTAGCTCAAGAACATGTGGTTTTTGTGGTTGGGAGTCTCCCCCTATCACTTCCTGCAGGTGTTCCTAGAGCTGTGGAAGCTGGTTCTGTGGTTGGGAGTTTCCTGGTGTCCCCGTGTTCCTGCTCTGCAAGGCAAGTTTTTCCTTGCCTGGTTCGCCTAGTGCTTGATCTTGGTGGGAATAGTTGGGTTTCTGTAATTAACTTCAGAGTAGGTCTGACCTGCTCTGTTTGGAAGGCTGTGAGACAACTGTTGTTGTGATGCGGCGCTACATAAATAAAATTTAATTTAATTTAATTGAACATTTCTAACATTTTCTAAGAGCTTCTACATCTGGCAATGGGATGAGAAAGTTTGGCTTTATGGTCCTTGTCTGACTGAATCGTGCCGAGCACAAAGTTTGGTGGAGGGTGGATTTTGATTTTCCAAGAGGTTTTGAACAATTCCTTGCTCCTAGCTTTGTGGGAACGGTTTGGAGACGACCCTTCCTCTTCCAGCAGGACCTCTCACCAGTGCACAAAGCAAAGTCCATAAAGACATGGATGAGAGAGTTGGGTGTGGATGAGTTTGAAAGAGTCCTGGCTTTAAACCAACAGAACCTCTTTGGAATGAAGTAGAACAGAGAGTAGAAGCCAGGTCTTCCTGTCCAACATCGATGTATAGGGATGGAAGTGTGGTCATAAATTCCCAAAAGCAGATTTCAAAAACCTGTGGACCGCCTACTTCGCCATGATGTTATGGCTTCAAAGGGTGGACCAACATCACTGAATTAAGTCTTTTTGAAGTTTATACTTAAGTCACAGCAAGTGAACAAATACTTTTGTCAAATCAGGCTACACAGCACTGTCATGGGTGGCTTCAGTTTAGGATAAAAAGCAGTCTTTTACCAATTTGAAGGTTGGTGCTTCAGCTCCTGGGCTACATGTTAAATGGTTGGCAACAACCTTAAATGCATGTTGCTAACTGAATAATGCATCCAAAAAATATATTCCCCGTAAAGACTTTGTGGAGAGTTCCAGTGAGAATGAGTGATTCAGTGCTTGTATTGTAAAAGGTCAGTGAGAGTACACAAGCACTATATAAGTAAAGTCGTCTCTCATTTAAACAACTCTTAGCTGTTCTGAACAGAGCATCGTCTAAGGAGATAAGTAAACAGGGCAAACAGTGTAATCTGCTGGAAAGAGGGGTTTGTGCAGGGTCAGATTAGCATATTTGTGTTTAAACATTCACTGAATCAGTGGAAAGGCATTGAGTCATGACACAAACAATTTAAGGCTTTTAGAGTAAAAAAAAAGAGAGTAAAAAGAAAAGGACTGCTCGGTTTTGGGAATGGGATGAGATATTCAGCTCAGAGCTGATTGGACTAGAACAGGGACGTGAATCTACATGCAAAAAGCAACAAGTCACACTTTTTTTACGTTCCTGTGACACAAATATTAACAATATAACAAAATTATTTCCAAAGTATTTTAAAACAATTATTTTCCATTTAGAAAGTATACTGAAAGTTTAAAGCAGTCCACAGTGACATTTTTTAGATATGATCAGCACAGTCCAACAGTCTATTCCAGTTGTTATCTTAGACTAAGCTAGCTATCTGTTATTAGTCACAGCCTAAAAGACCAGATTGAGAATATCAGTGAATGTTTCCACTCTTTGTTTCTGCTGCTTAAGCTATTGTTCATTTTCTCTAAGTGATTTTGAAGGATCACTTCTAGAACAGGATGAGAGCGTTGCCCTGACAGTGACCCCCCCCGCTCACAGGACCTCTGTTTCTCACTGGCCTGGATACACAATCTCCCTCTGTTCTTGGCACAGGAGTAGGCTTTGATCCCTTTGGAATTTTGAACAGTACTATTTCCATCCATCTTTTGAGGTATCTTCTGTTATCTGTGTTTAGGAGTTCGACTCAGCCAAACAAACGGAGCCGGGTTCTGTTTTCTGCCCCCTCGCTGCACTGGGACCACTGGGATTTACACAAGTCCTTTCCCAGGTCTCTTAAATATTTGCTGACATATTTACACATTGTCTCACCTGCTAATATTCACCTAAATATTCACTGTCGTCTGACCCTGTTTTTTATTTTGGACACCAAAGCCTGAGAACTGAATATTTCTGTATTTCCAGACATTTAGATGTGACAGATAGTCTTGAGTATCCAGGTCACTTACTGTTGGACATTCAGATACTCAGAAGTCAGTATGTCTGTTTGACTTGACAATGAGCCATCAGAGACGGTCTGACTGGAACCTCGCTATGCTGGGCGGGACGTGGAATTTCCACTTTATATTCTTCACGTTTGTTTGTCATTTTTCACTTCACACATCATGCTAAGATCCGTCCCAAAGGTGCTACAATCACCAAAGTACGGCTGAACAGAACAATAAATCACAGAGGGCTTTTCCTCTGGCTTTGTATCTGGGAGCGACGCAGACATGTCTGTTATTACCTCATCTTGTCTCTATTCCAGCCTCCACCTGCCTCCCGTGCCCAGAGCTAGCCCTCATTCCTGAGAGCGTGTGTGTAAATACAGCTGCTCCGTCCACTTTAAAGCCTGACTCCACTTTGAACCCCAAACTACCCCCACCCCAGCTTCCTTCTCTTTGAAATATCCCTAAGTGCACCCCTCCAATTGACTATTAAAGTTGCATCATCCCCCTTGAAGGAAACAGGATCTCGTTGAAGGTGAGGTGTTACATGTCACATTGTGATTTAGTATCAGCCAATGAGAAGAAGCCAACAAGGGGGACTGAGACACAGCAGACTTTCACTACCAGCCCAACAGTAGCCTACAGGGATGTCACCGTTTGCTGACACTCTCTCCAGAAGCAATAAAAGCGACTGCAAGCCGATAAGAAGTTGTCATCTTTTAAATTTTGTGATGTAACGTCTTTTCAACCGAACCGCTCTCGAGCCATTCCACGTCAGAACTTTTTTTCAAAAGTTCTTTTCAAACATCTTCACTATTGATCACAGGGGCATTGCACAAGGTTTTCACATCACTATGCAGCAGCTCTTCCTACCGGCTTTATAGCTCCACCTTTTATGAGCATGGCTTCTTCA